ATTAGTGTCTAAGATACAATACTTCTTCATGAGTATTTCAAGAGGAATGTCCTGGAAAAGCAATTTTTTTTACTTTTCACACCGAGAACGCAACGTTTGTTTACGCACGGATTTAGCGTCCAAAATGCATTAGCCCTCGGGAAGAAAATCTCGGATGGATAATTGCTCAACAGATTCATTTGATACTCTTATGCGGCAATTATCAAATGAGAGGCTCTCGAAAGCGATCAGACGCTGGTCACATGGAGTATAATATCCTATTAGCCTCATAACATCGTCATTTGAGAAGAGGATCCTTAGAAACAACTAACTAAAGTTGCTTAGGTTTCACTTTGAAGTTATTCGCAAAATAATCAGTGTGGAGTAAGCTCAAGATTTCGAATAACAAGTCTAAGCAAAGAAAATTCTGCATTACCTATGCTTTGAAAGTTCTAAGATTTATGCTCACCAAGAAATGAGCCTATGCTATTTTAGCTTTGTACCATATTTAGAGAGATTTTGCAAAAGTTATTTGCATGTATTTACATTTAGATAAATACCCTTCAACCAAAATAAATTTTTCTAATGAGAAGCAACACATTAAGGTGGAAGAATAATGGCTGATAGATGGGAATTCATCAAAAAAAATTTATTCTGCATATCTGGTCTTTTTCCTAAAACGTATTTGGTATTTTCTTGTTGGAATCTAATATGGAAAATTACCGTTAGTAATAAGTTAGCTGTTTATTACTTGCAAAGAAAAAGAAAACAAAATTTGTCAAACAATATGGTAGGCAAACATTCTCTTTGAAAAGTACAGACAAATTTTGAAAATTTCCAGCTGTATAACTTTTCGTGTTTTACAAGTTTATGAATTACATAATTAAGCGAAGTTGCTAAGCACATCATCATCGTTTGGTCTTCACAGTACTGTAGTATGGGCTTCGTTTGGTACAGAAGATCTGGTTGAAAGGAGTTTGTCACTAGAAATTCTAGAACAAGCAGCGGAAAGATTATGGTGGACGAACATGGGATAAATACTCTGAGGAACGAAAACAACAGC